TTTATATTTATATTTATATTTATATTTATATTTATATTTATATTTATATTTATATTTATATTTATATTAATAAAATATATTTTAAACATGATTTTATTACTTATTATTAATTTATTTTTTTAATTATTATTTATAGATATTTTATAGCATGATTTTATTACTTTAACATATTTAAAAAAATTAAATTAACCTAAATTAAAAAACACTGGGTCTGATATAACACACGATATTTTCTAGGAAAACCTATTTAGCGTTGTTATAAAAACGGTTCTATAAATAATAACATTATGAAATTAAATAAAAATTAATTTTATTCATTAAGGGAGTATGGTGGATGTTACGACGGCATTGCCATCGTCGGCAGGGGGCTCGTTAATTGGTCGAACACGAGGAGCCTTGAGAACTGTCAGATCGGCTTTAGGTGGTAGCGGAGAATATCTTCAAGGTTTAGGAAATAGAATAGGATCAGCTTTGAGTAATAGTTTAGAAGAAAATGAATTGACTACACCGTCCTCGACTCCTTCGTCACCCCCACCTCAAGGTCATACGCCAGTTAAAGAAGTGGATCACTTGGCACGAAGAAAGTTGAGACTTCCAAGGTGAATTTTGTCGACATTTTTTTTTAGACTTTTTAAACAATCATTTCTCAATGAAAAAATCGTAGGGGTTTAAAAACTGTCAATGGGGTAATTAATTCGCGTCTATTAACACGTTTCGTGTCATGGCACAATTTTTAAAGATTTGACATTTAGAAAGCGTGGGACGTATACGACCCACACTCTTTAAAGATTAAAAAATTACTCTCTTTAAAGATTAAAAAATTACACTCTTTAAAGATAATAAATAGAACTAAAAATAAATTATTATATTTAAATTATATATTAATTAAATATTATATTTAAATAATTAATTTTATTTATATATATATATAATTAATAATAATATAATATTTTATAAGAAAATATTTATTATATAATTATTTATAATACTACAAAGCTATATAATTAGCTGGAAAACAAAATTTATATTTTGTTTTATTATTTAATTTTATTTATTATTTTTAAATTTATTATTTGAATTAATTAAAATTTATATCTTAATTTGTATTAAATAACAAAGCAATGATATTTTAATTTTTAAGGAATTATTGGAAATTTTTAAAAGAATTCAGCGGGGGTCGTATACGACCCACACTTTACGAAATGTGTTAAGACAAATTTTTCTTACAAAAAAAAAATAATTACCTTTAATTTAATAAACTTTATATATAAATTTAAAATCAAAGAACGAAGTGTTTATCTAAAAAAATATGGCAAAGGTATTAGAAAAAAAGAAACATATTGGAACAATCTATTTTTAGATTCGGTGCAGGTTTATCGTACGAGGATTACGAAGCAATGGCTAGGCATAAATTGGAACGACAAGGTAGTGCCAGTATGTCGAGAATTTCGAGGAAGTATCCAAGGGGAATGACGTACGAGGAGATAGCATCGTCTAGATCTAGTTCGCACAAGAGACAGGAAGCGAAATCTAACGAGTACGAGGACAACAGTCCTGATAGGGATAGTCAAGAGAGTATAGAACCACTCCAGGAAAAGGATATTAAAGCTACCGGACCTGATCCTTACGAAAAATTAAATTACAAAGCAGGTAACAATACATTACATTATAATATAAACACATTTTTCAATATTTGTTTAATATTCTAGAACATTAATACTTTAGTGGCCACTTACACAATATGTATGTGATGGTTGGGTCAACCATTAGCGTACACTCACACATTTGTGTGATGCAACTGCTATTTAAATTAATTCTTTAAAAATATTGTCAACCCCTGGCAACATTTGACTGAGTAGACATAAGACCATTAAAGTGTTAATAATTATATTAATAATAATAATTGATATCATATTATGTTTTTCTTTCCTTTTTGAATAAAGCAAGGGCCCCGACTCGCTATCAGACGGTCATTTTTCGGTTAGGTAAATAGTGTGTCAAGTATTCTTTTTTTTGTGTAACTCCACGCCAGGTTTAACATACGCGACAAACTTACCGCGTCTCTTTGTGAACGTTTTTTATGTAGGTGCAATTAGTGTGAGACTGTAGGCTTCCCCTTTTCCACTTTCCTTATATTTCATGTTTCTTTTAATTAAAAGAGTCTACATTGTTAATCCTGCTTTTATATATGTGCTTCTCAGCACTTGACTTTTTACCCTTCGTATTTTTGCGTACTTGTCGTCTGATGCTTTCTTTCTCAAAAAAAAAAAAAAAAAAACATAAATTATAACTCGTAACACCAGGAAAAATAAGTCAACGTTTCGACTAATCTTTTAGTTAATGAATTATAGTCGAACGACCTTATTATGTAACTAAAATAATCAGTAAGGTTAAAAGTTGTTAGGTAATTTCCTACTTGAGGAAAGTTTTTTATTTTTTAAATAACCAAACGTAACATCCACGTAGTTTTTGCGATGTAATGATAATAACAATGTGGAAAAACAATTTAAAATGCACACAATTAGTTAGAGATATTGAATAATGTGATTACGTGTACTAGAAACAGCACACCGGTCTGAAAATCCTTATCATTTTGTTAGTAAAACCCAATAGAAGTTGCCGTGTTCTCGTCTCTTCCTCGTTTCATTGTGGGGGGAAGGGGATTCCTCGCTTTCTCATTGGATTTATCGCAAATTTGAGACGAGCTAAATTCACGACACTTGTTAGACATGTAAATTGCTTTCTACGTGTATTGTAAACACGTGTGTTAGATTATTAATTAATTATATAATAGACAAGGATAATATGATTTATAAAATAATATTTCAGATATGCCTTGTAGCAGTGATTCGACCAGCGATCAAGATGGTTATGGTCCCAGTACCAGCTTAGATTCAAACATGGATGGACGAAGATTTTGGCAAAGATCAGGTCAATTATTAAAAAATTATTTGTTAATATAAGACATAATATAATGTGATCTTTTTTTTTATTAATGATTATTGGATTAATTTTGTTTCAGGTTCTTCCGGTTCAGTTCAATCCTGGGCATCCAGTTTATCGGCTGACAGCCAATCGGAAGAGGCAGCTGCTGATTTTATGAAGTCTTTCGTCCCGATGCTTTTTGAAGCTCCAAATAATATTGATCAAGAACAAAAAGCTAATTTTGGTCAGATGGTTCTTGTACGTTAAGTATTTAACATTATTATTATTAGAATGAATGAGGGTCAATCGATAATCCAAATGAAATATTTATTAATTATAAATGTTTGTAAAAAATCAAATTATATTTACAGACAGAATCTGGTAGGATATGGTTTTCCAGAGTGGTTAATGCGAGAAGAGCACGTGCCTGTGTCTCAGAGGATTCTTTTTATTCTCTAGCTCAACATTTTGCAGTAGCACTTTTCGAATGTCACGAAGCCGATGACTTTGCACCGGCTAAAAGTCTTATGAACATGTGTTTTACTTTTTATCACGAGGGTAAGTACTTTAAAGAAATTAAAGTAAATTCTGGGGATTCCCATTTAGATCCACTTCTTTTTATATTATTTGTGAATGATATTTGTCATTTATTTTATAACTGCAAATACTTGCTTCATGTGCAGAGGATTTAAAAAACATTTACATTAGCAGTATTCCTCTTAGTGCTTATCTGATATAAGAGGATCTTATGTAAGCTGCACATGTGCTGTTTGAGTAATAAATTATCTCTGTCAACCTGTCTAAATATCATACTACAGTATATTTTAATCGAACGAGAAATAATTCTTTTAATTATTTTGTAAATTATTTATAACTATCATTTGTTAAATTCTATTATATTAACATTTACAAAAAAGTTCTACTTTAATCATTTGTAATAATTTTTATTTTATATTCTTTACCAACTTCATTTATCCAACTCAATTTTTAACCCGTTCTTTGTTACGTGTATTATTATTTAACTTTGACAATCAAATAATTAAATAGATAAATAAATAATTTATAATTATTTGAAATTAGTCGAGGTACCAGGTTTGGAACCCTATCGAGAATATCTTTACACACATTTACGAGTACAACCAATCTGGTCGTCAATGAGATTTTGGACAGCTGCATTTTTCGATGCTGTGCAATGTGAAAGAGCATCAAGGCCAGTACCACCTAGACCTAAATCTTTGGATCAGGAAGCAATAGCTGCAGAAGACAGAAGATTTCAAGCTAATATAGTCTTTGGACAATTAGGGTACGTATTGTGAATGAAAGTTGATATAATTTCAATCAAATTATCTATCGTTATAATTCTTATATGAAATATTTTTAGCACTTTTACTTGTAACATGCACGCCTTTGGTCTATCACGTGCCCTTTGCTTGGAGTTTCTCAGAAAACAATGCATCATTGCTAATTTAACAAAAGGTATATCTATTTAATGTATTTATTATGTTTTTTTTGTTCAGTATATTCTTTTATTTATTTTTTAAACATTTCATTTGTACAGAAGACCGTACGATATTAAAAAAAAACATGTGCAGATATTACTCTTATAGGGTGCCTATTTATTTAATTATTATTAATTATTTATTTAATAACTATTAAAAATGTGCGCCTGTAAGAATGCAATCCTCCAAACACACTTTGAAAATGCTGTTTGCAAGCGTCATCTATTGGAACGGAATTTTTGTTCTGCTTCAAAGATAGGCAACCCGTAATACATACCTGTATGAACAGTTTTGACTGAAAAAACATACTATTCCAACAGATGGTGCTCGCAAGCAACATTTTCAAATTGTGTATAGAGGGTTGCATATCTAGAGGCGCTAATTTTTTTAATTATTAAATTATAAAATTATCTAATAACACTTCTAACTTGTGTGATATGTACACATGTTTCTTTCTAAATAAGTTTATTATATCTATTTCTTTTTTCGTTATTTGCAGATCAAGAAAAAATGTTACGTGATAATATTGAAAGGATGTATAACGAGACAGAACCTTGGCGGTAGTTTTGTTTCTTGGAAAAAAAAAAAGAAAACGTTTTATCAATTTTAATTTATCAAATAATTAATTTAAATTAATGAAAAAAGAGTAAAGAGTGTATAAAAAGGAATGAAAGGTATGAAATATTGAATGCAAATCGCGATATCGTCAATTAAAATGAAAAAATTAATCTATAAGAAAGGGAAGCAAGAGTTAATATCTTGATATCGAATACAGTGATAGAAATTGTCAATTGTTCGTGTGCATAATGATTAAAAATATACGGTTGTGATTTCGTCAAAGTATTCGAGATTAATATTAATGTATTATAACGATGATTAAAGAAATGAAACGTGTGTTCCTAAATTAATGGTAGGATAAGTGCGATTACGTTAATATTCAAAATGAAATTAGAGATGAAATATTGAATTCTTTTTCCCCATTTTAAAACAGTAATGCAATTTATTATAATAATGCACAAATGATATTTTTATCTCAACTACGGCTTCAACCATTGATACACGTATTAATGATAATTAAATGCATTTGAAATACCATTTAGCATTTTTTTCCGAACGGCATAAATGCACTAATATTCTAGTGTAGTGTCAGGCTTAATAAAAGACAATAAAGTTTTACGCGATTAGGTTTTGAAAACTTAATTAACTTGTCAATATTTGTATCGTTTGATAAGACTTGTTAATAATAATCGACGAAATGATTAAAGTCGTAATTTGTCGTTGTTTCAATTTGCGAAAGTGTATAAAATGGAAATCATTGTAAAAACAAAAATGTACACAACATATTCTCTTGCTATTTTGACGTAAATAGTTAGGAGAAATTGTATTAAAATATATATACCTAATAGAATAATATATTTGTAAGTAACATATATAATATAAAAAAAATATTCATTAAGATCGATATATTTAATATGTATATCAAAGAGCAAGAAATGTGAAAGAAACGATAACGAAATGATAAGAAAAGAAAATGAATTGTTTTTGAAAACACTTTACTCTAATCATATTAAATGCTAAAGTTTATTTTCAAAAAATAGCGACCATGTAAATAAGACGTGTAAAATGGTAAATTATAATATTTAAAAGTGTACATATCATGAAATTGCGATCATAATAATTAATCGTCAGAGAATTATATCATGATAATTAACATCGAATTATAATTTATCATGTTTATGCAAATTTCTAGAATTTTTTTCTTTCTTTTTTTTTGTTATATGTCACACAATACGAGTTGTTACTATTATTTATTATTTATCCTATTCGCATATCTTTCAATTGGATATTATTTAATTGTCTTGCATTATACGATCCTTCCGCAATTCATTGAAACTCTTTCTCAAGGCAAATCGGTTTGTAGCAGTCGTAGGCAAATTTTTCCCTGACAGAGCGGTTGATCTAATCATTGGATTACTCGATCTCAAAGATTTCATTATATCGATACTATTTAAAGCTCCTTTAGGAATACAATATTTTGTATCAGTTTCATCAATTATTTTTGGACTTATTTTAGGTGAATTTTCATTCAAATCTGTAACAGGTTCTAACATTTCGTTTCGATCAACAATAATTTTTTTATCAAATAAAGTATTCTTTTCTTTCGTTGAAATTTTATTAGTCGAACGATCGGATTCATTTAATTTCATATTTTCAATTGAATTGTTCGATAAAGTAGTCATTGAATCAGAATTTTCTGACAAACGATCGAGTTTCTTATTAATTCGATCACGTTTAATATCTTTCATAGTATTCATCGTTTTATTTTTTTTCGTTGAATCTGTTAAAGTTTTTGCATCTTCTAGATAACTATAATCATAATCAAAAACTGTTCTAGGACTACGAATTCTTTTCAAACTTTCCTCTATCAAATAAGCCAATTCAAAATTTTCATTCTTCATAACTGCCGATTCATTTATGAAAGATTTATCGGTGTTTAATATCGTTGAGTTACTTTCCATTAATTTTTTCGTCTTAGTTTTATTATTCTTCGATAAAGTTTTATTTTTAATCGATTGACTGTTAGAAGAAACACCATTGTTCGTTTTATTCATCGTATTTTTATTAATTACGTTGTTCTTTTTCGTGTCACCGAAAAATTTATCCTTTTCTGTGATATGTAAATTACCATTGATAGTTTTTACGGTTGTTACGACAGATTTTGTATTTCGTTTGTTTGTAGATGAATTTTGTTGTCCAGCGATAGACATAGAATCGGAAAATGATTCGCGAACTTCATCGTTTTTCGTAGATTTTTCTTTTTTAGTGTTACTCGTTTTATTCGTTTTATTTGTTTTATTGATCTTTTTAACATTAACATTTATCTTTTTGTCGTTTCGATTATTTTTAATTGTATCATCGTTTACTTTATTATTTTTTAATGATTTGATTAAATTCGTTTGTGCATTTTTTTGAGTAATTTGCAATGGTCTAACAATTTCATTGCTCACAGATGAATTTGATACTTTGGGTAAAGTTTTCAATGGTCCACTCATGGATCTTGATAATCCATTTTTCATTTTTAAATGTTCATTTTTAATAGTTGATCCTGTTATCTATGACAAATATTTATATTTAAAAATTCGTGGATATTTGTGTACAAAAATAATCATCGTAAAACATTAAACAATTTAATTACTTTGCGTAATTCCGCAGAAAATGGTATTTGTTGATCTTTAAAAGTTTGTTTCCAACCATAAGCCATGGCGTATTCTATTTCCTTTTTGCTAATATTAAACCTCTTGTGCCTTTTGTATAAAGTTTCCCAAATGAAATTATCGTTAAATACCTGATCGTTATAAAATAATTAATCATTCATTCATTGATCAAATGAATTTGTTTGAACTTTTATCTTATATATTAGATGATCACTTACTACGTTTGCAATACGAGATAAGGAAGATAAATTGACGATATCTTTGAAATGAAGAAATTCAACAATTTTTCTTATCGAAGATCGTGGCAACGTCAAAAGTGTATTCCCTTTACCTTCGGCTAGTTTTTGAATGTAATTAACAAAGTGCTCGCCTATATTATAGTTATAAAAAAAAAAAAGAAAAATATATACAATTATTATTATATTTAAATAAAGAATAAATATTCATTTGCTTTTAATGAAAAATATTATTTTGATCAAACAAAGTAAGATCCCCAATTTTAATGCGTTCGTCGGCCTACCGTGAGGCCCAAAAAACGAAAATATTTAATTTGGAATGAAAGTGCACCTGAAAGTAAACTAAACGATATGTAATATTTTATCTTTAAATATAAATTAATAAAAATGTATAATATAGCATTTGTGTGTGTGTATTTATATTTCAAATTTATTTTAATATTCCAAATTGAAAATCCTATTTAATTTTGAATTAAAATAACGTCACCCATAAAAATATTTGATTGATGGGACCCCAAGGAAAGTATACAGACGAACGAATTAAATAAATAAAAAATTAAAATCATCATACCAAAAAATCGACCAATAAAATCCTGCAAAGTTTTATCTTGACTAAATTCAACAAACTTGATGATACGAGAAATCGGTGTTTTGTGTGGTCCGTGAGATATTTTCCAAATGTAAAGTATCAACTAAGATATAAATAAAAAGAAAAGAAAGAGGTTATATAAATGAACTAATACTTGAATATATTTATATGATCGTCTAAACCTCATCTTGAAGAATTTTAAGGCCATAGTAGTCTCTGCTAGGTGGTGGTGCCACCGAATATTTTTCCAAATATTCAATCTTACCAATCATACCATCGGCTAGAAAGATTCCGGTTGTCTCGAGATTTCTACATCGATCTTGTTTCAAAAAATAATCTTCTCATTTGATTTCTTCTTTTTTCTATTACATGAAAATATTGAAAATCGTTTAAACAATGGCCAATCGTTATCAATCGAATTCAAATAAATGAAGTTGATTTCTATTTATGATTCTATGATATTTTACAATTTTTCGTGTATTTATATATTTACTTATATAATAAATAATTATGTTGATATGGTGAAATTTGTAAAGACTTGTTATTCTTTAGATTTCATAATATTTTATTATACAATATTTCAATATGAAGAGATGAAGATAAATATAGAAATGTTGAAGTAAAAATGGAAAGTCGCTTTTGCATTACATAATATTTGTAATGTTTGCTTTTAGTAATATTAATTAATATACAAGTTTAGGCTATAGAATAATATCACAATGCATGATTCACAACTTCGTAAAAGTTTATAGAATAGAGTATAAATCTAAAAGTAGGTAATAATTTGAAAAATCTTTCAAATCGTCGCGAAAACATCTAAGAAGTTTTACGTTTTTTTTTTCGTTTTAATTCGGCATACTTAATATAAATATACGGTACTTATCTACGTCATTATAATAATAATAATAATAATAATAATAATAATAATAATAATAATAATAATAATAATAATAATTATATTAAGAAGAAGAATAATTATAATAATCAGTAATGATTATAAAAAGGATGAAAATTTCTTTTTTTTTTCTTTTTTTTCTTTTCTAATTTTCTTTCATACGTTTTTTTTTTTTTATATACTTTCAATAGGAAAAATATTGGATAGTGCGAATTCGCGGACGATTATTTTTTCGATCGTCGATAGGAAAAAAATTATCGACATCTTTTTTGGTGCTAACACGATAGAAAAAATTTTCACAATATATATATATATATATATATATTTATTCAAACGATCATAGAGAAGTTAAAAACTTCTTTTTCGTTTTTTTTCTTCTACTACTTCTTCTTCTTTTTTTCTTTTATTTATTTTTTTTTTTTTTTATAATGAAAACGTATCTATTCTTCCTGTAAATACTTGATTGCATGATTGATATGACGTTTTCTAGCTCGTTTAAAAAAGACTTTCTACCTCTATTAAATCGATGATTATTATTTTTTTTTTTTTTTTTAAAGTAACATGAAAATAAATTACTATACGCTAGTCGTGGTCGAGAGAAGTCTTATGAATGACGGAATTAATTTTATTTTAGTATGTAGTATAAAAAAGTCTACTTTTCGTGCCGTTTTTTTTTTCCTTTCATTCTTTCTTTCTTTCTTAATTTCTTTTTTTTTTGGCTTTCTTTTTTTGTTTAAAAAAAAAAAATTCTCCTCCAGTCGTTAAGTAGAAGAAGGAAGAGAGAGGAGGTACGACAAAAAGACAAATGACATTTAACTTTAAAATTCAAGATTTAAAATTCGCATAATCCGACGTGGAAAAAAATTAATGCCGGAATTATGAATAAAGTTAGAGCAATGATTATGCGACTGATTATGCGAAGAGCTGAACAAGAAATAGAGAGATGTGTATTATATCGTTTCCTATAACACTTACATATGTGTGTGTTAAGATAGTAAGTAGAAATAGAATAAAGTATAGCAAGAATGAGAGAGCAGTAAGTTAAAGTATAGTTACACGTACTTAATCAATGTAACTTTTTGGTCAAAGGTTTGATCAATCGATGATTTATCAAACTTGAAACGATGTAAGAGAGTTTAAGACATTTTTTTGACACGTTGAAACCCCCAATTATTAATCAGCTCTTCATCGGCAAACATAATCAGTCGTCGTACGCTTAGGTGTACACATAAATGTGTTTTTAGTGTGCTGTTGCTTTTTTTTGTGTAAGTATATTTGTGTGTATTGTCTCGTGTATGTACGTATGTATATATATATACTATAATTATAAATTTGTAATTATAATATTTTGGAAGAACAGATTTGCGTATTGCAATAGCGGAAATGAAAATCGGTTTACCTTATCGAATATGTGTTCAAGCGATTTCTAATTAACAATAATTGTTTCATTTAATTTTGTTTATACCGGATATGTGATCAGTCACGCTGATTTTTAATGAAATCGCTGAGAATTTTGATTTAATCGATAAGGTATCCGACTTTAGTGAGTTTAATGAGTGCCGCATTAATGGAGCTTAGCACTCGGTTAAAAATACTTGATTAAAAGGACGCGATAGAAAAAGGAAGTAAGTAAGTAAGTAAGTAAGTAAGTAAGTAAGTAAGTAAGTAAGTAAGGAAGGAAGAAATAGATAGATAGAGAAGTGATTGGAGATATTTGAAATACTTGGAATATGTTAAAATGTATCCACAGTCGAAAATCGATTATAGAAAATCGAATCTTTCATTTTTAATCCTTTAAACGTTAAGATGTTTAGTATCATTGTGAAAAGAATAGAATAGGTATAATAAAAAAAGAAAATAGGACAGGTAGATAATAATTTCTAGGATTGTTGAAAAAGTGAAACCGTCCTCTCCGTTATGGCCCTTCTGTCCCTGCAAATACTCGAAGAGGTCGTTGTTTCTTCGGACGGTGCTGGTGCAACAGTGAGTTGCCTTTGTTCCATGTGATCCAATGTCTTTTCTATTGCTCTCAATCTTTTTTCTAAACTCGTAGTACCCAATATACCAACTTGAAGTTGTGGTCCAAGCGGTAAAATGGCTAACAACCACCAAGTCCAGGAAGGACCGTCAGGTAATCTCGGCCAATCTTCTTCCGTGTCGGGCATACGACCAAAAACTCGTTGAATTTCTGATTGTTGATAAGACGGTACCGTGTTCCACCATCTTCTACCTTTAGCTCGTACCTGTGATGAAGACATCAAGCTTTTTATTTTATTTATCCATCAATAGGAATTTAAGTACAGGTAACACGGTAGATAGGTTTCTAGAAAATGCCGTGTTGTAGGAGGGCTACCTGTATTCTGTTCGCTTGAAATTAACTTGCTTATACCTTATCGTGCAATTCCAATAGATTCAACAGTTGATTTCCTTGTACTACAGTGTCCCTTAGAAATTCAACGTGAGCTGTGTCATATCCGTCCCTTTCACCACCAGATAAAACACGAAACCTTCTTCTTCCTAACGTACTTAGTATACTGCAACCATCCTTCAATAAAACGCGATCACGTATTTCAAGTATCGTACCATATTCCGCGTACCTAAAAATAAATCAATAATTTAATTATTTTGAAAATAAAATAATATTTTGAAGAATATATTCAACTTACCTTTTAGCACCACTCGATTCTTTGTTGAGACAAGCAGCTATGCCAAATTGTTTAACCCCACTTTCGACGCACCTTCTAACCATCAATCGATATCTAGGCTCATAGACGAACAACGGACACGCGACGCATGGAAATGCAGTGGTGCAAATAAATACTGCGATTTGTTCGCTGTCCAGAAGACCGAGACCTTGAACCAACTCGAGTCGATGACTCGCAGCTCTGGCCGCGTATTCGTCAGGTGCAACGATCTTCAATGCCCTTTCGATGAAATCCGTCACGGTTTTTTGACTACTCGCTAGGTACTGTTGTAAAAGGAAAACAAATTAAATTCAATTTTTTTCAATTATTTCGAGAATTCTAATAACACGGGGGTCGTATACGTCCCACAATATAAATATCCGTATAACTCTTGTTTCATGTTTGATATTACGTAATAAATCAAATGAATAGAATTGTAAAATAAGAATAAAGGAAGATGAAGAAGATGTTTCGTAGATTACCGCAAAATAATCGAGCATAGTTAGTTTGGTGGAAACCACGCTATTCGTTACTTCTTACCGAATAAATTTCGTTCATCATTAACCTGATAATATACCGTTAGATATAAACAATTGGTAATAATTTTGAAAACGCGGAAGCTTATAAAGTTAACCGCAACTACCACGAATAACGTGGGGATCGTTAAAGATCTACGTGGTATCCGTGCAACGTTAGAAAGCATTCTAGCCGTTTTATTTCGTTTGCAATCGTCGTTATTAAAATAACCCGAGCTAATATTCTTCCTTTAATCTTTGCAAAAATAAAAACAAAACATAGCACTATGAGTAATGGCTCGTGACTAACAAGCAAACCACGCGAAGATACGATTTAATATATTTAATCGATTATGTTTTATAATACTTGTTTTTTATTTTTCTTTCAAAGTTTACGTTAAACATGTTGACGATTTTTTAAATGAAACATTTTCAACAACAACTTACGTCAGCTAAGGATGTGACACACAAGGGACAAGCTGAAGAATAATCCAAACACCTATCAAGACACATCCAACAATACGTGTGCCCACATGGCGTTGTTACAGGTTTCCAAAGTAGTCGACAGCATAAAATACAATCTAACTCGTTGACCGTTCCATCAACAAATGGTGGTAATAAAACTTCAGCAGGTCTTGCTTCCACTCCTGAAAAGGATTCTTAATTGAGTAATGTAATGCAATTAAAAATAATAGGTGTCACGTAATTAAATGATCATGATTGATCACACTTACTTTTCAATTTTTCCATATCTTGAGATACTCGGTCCAAGATCGTTTGAAGTTTAGCATTATTCGAGAGAAGTCTTCGACTAATCGTCTGCGATAATAAAAGTTAGGAAACTATGTTGAATTGAGATACGATTTCAAATTGTAATTAATTTAAACGACTTAGAATAATAGATGTGATTTACAATAATACACATTTGGTGGGTGGAAAGGGATATTCGTAATTTTATTGTCTTTAAAAATACGATAATGATAAACGGTCACGTAGAGAGGGAATCTATATATATAATGACTCGTTCAGTTGAGTATCACGTTTATAATTAGAAACGGTGAAACGATTACTGATTATTCGTCACCTTTTATCACGGCCACGATATTAATCACGATAACGATGATATTTACGTAATCCATGCAATAAGTTTAAATCGTTCAATTAAAAAAAAAAAAAAAAAAGAAAAACAAAACGTTTTTAATTATATTTTCATTAAAATGCGTCGTAGGTCATAAGCCTATCGAAAGTTCGTTGAACTGTACGAAGGTTAAAAACAAAAGAAAAAACAAAATTACATATGCACCAAATGAAATGAAGTGAAATGTCTTTGTTTTAGTTAGTACCGTAATCGATTAACAGAAGAAAAAAAATAGAAGGAATGAAAGGATAGATGTAATGAGAAAAGATAAATGAGAAACGGACATACATACCTGTGTGAATTCCTCTTCGCCACCACTACTATCGTCCTCGCAATCCGAACTATTAAACGCGGCACGTCGATTACGCTTGGGATTTGTTAATTGGTGACGGCTTCTCGTACGGGACACACCTTCTATTAAATTGTACGGTGTTCGAGATTGAATGACACTTTGTCGACGCAAATCAGCCAATAACATTTTATGCAACACCTAGAAAAATAATATAAAAAATGTATGATTTATATTTTCCATCTGTTAGAAAACAATTACGTGAAAGGTTTCAACCTTATTAACAGAATACTATTGTTTAAAGAATGATTTAAACATTGTAGAAAACACGTAGGCTGCATTGATTTAAAAAAAAAAAAAAAGGAATTGTGTTTTATTTAAGCTGAATTGAAAAATTCAAATGAAACGATTCTACTTTACTTGAAAGAAAAATAGAAGAAAAAAATACAGAGATTAGAGTTAAGAGTTAGTTTAGGGAGGAAACAACGTAGGGGAGAGAGTTGATACGAGTGGCTGACTCACCTAACGACTGTCGTACCTACAACGAATCGTTAAATTGCTAACAAAAGGACTACAAGAGGAAAAGGGAGAAACCCTCTTTTATGTTCTTTGTTTTTCATAAAAAAAAAACCTTGTATTATTTACTTCGTTTACTTAGCTCTTACGCTTTTGACATTACTTGTTCATAGAAAAGTAAAACTACAAAAGAAAATTTCTATTTACCTACCCTGGTTAATTCGTGTCGTACTACTTGAGGATTCTTGTCGATGGCAACGCTAATGCAAAGGGCGAAAAAGGCTTCCTCGTATCTACCCAATGCTGATAACGCAACCCCTCTTCTGTAATGACCCTATCGATCAAATTCATCGTTAGAAATAGAGGACAATTTGGTTCTACTTTATTAAGGTAAACTCACCTTGCCCCAGTCAGGCCTGAGCCTAACTGCCTGATCGGCATCCGTGAGAGAAGCTTGTGGCCTCTTTAACAAAAGCAAAACGTGGGCCCTGTTGCTAAGATGGAGTGGGCTGTTTGGCACTGAAACAAAAGAAAACAAAATAAACTTCATAGAAACTGGTGGAGAATATTAATTTGTTCCTACAATTAAAGTTTTCTTCTTCATCTACCATTTGTCTTCCAACAAATCAAATAATTGAGGGATAAGGGGAGGTGTATACAAATTGTTAAATAACAAATTTTCGTCTCTCTCATAATTTAATTCGATGTTACATGATATTCAAGAGTTGATATGTTTTTTTTGATTCGATATAACTGTTAAAATACATTCACTCGTAGATTGGTCAAAATGTTTACTCAATTAAACCTGTTAATTACCGTAACAGGACAAAAATGGTTATTACTGTATTAATCTAATCGCACGATTATCAATTTCACTGTATAAATCAATATTTTTATTTTTATAAACATTACTTCCAGTCAATATGAATATGAATACATTTGAATAATATTAATTCGTGTTTTTTCAATATTTCTTTTTTTTTCTGTTTCTTTCCACAAAATAATTACTAATAGTTTTGACCCAATTAATGAAAAATACATGTTCGTTTTCTAGCATAAATCAAAGAAGAGATAAAAAATAAAAAAGAAGAGTTGGAGATTAATATCTCTTTTCACGCTTTCCGATATCCAACTATAAATGGATATGCTCGATTAAACAAATTACTAGCATTTATTAATTGCTTATTAATTATACCGTAGTGTAGAATGATCAATACGTAGAATTTTTTTCTAGAACGTTATTATGTCACTGTCATTCCAAAGTCGTGATCATTTTATCGTATAAATAAGCAGCCTTCTTATGAGATCAAATTTTGTTTGACAGTATTACGAATTGCACATGCAACGTTGGATGAATTTCATTTTATTTAATAAACCTATCCCTTTCACCAAATAAATTCATCATAATCGTTTTAAGTTTTGTACAATGACTATTACTAATTTATAATCTTTTCAATATTCCTATCATTATTATTATTTTTTGACGAATGATATTAAAAATAAAAAACAATGAAATAAATAATGAGAAATAAATTAAATTAACTTTCAATAAATCGTGACATGACAAATGATATTTGTTTTGTAAATTCGTGAATGCAATTCTTGCTGGTCATGAAGAAAATCATTTAGAGAGGGTGGTGTGTTACGAGGGGTGAGAAGAAAGGAAGGAGAAGAGAAAAGAGAAGAGAGGCGTGTGCAGTTCAAAAGCGTGGACCGTGAAGAGCCGATTTGACGAGGAGAGCGTGACGTCGAGTGGTCGAGAGGGGGGAACAAGGGGGAAACTGGCGGAGGTAGACGACGGGTGCAAACGTCGGGAGTGCATCCTGGCATTGTGAGCAATGTCATTGCCTTCGTTGCGAGAAACTCTTTTTATATGTTGGTGGAGAATGAATTTCCGGCACGCGCTATGACAACACATATATATATATAGACTCATGCCAATTGCAAGAATGAATCAAACGTTCGATTATTTTATGGTTTGTTAAATTTTTCATATTTTAATTTATACGAATGTATTTTAGTAATAAGAAATGAAATGAAACCAAAAAATGTACGAGATACATATATAATTAATCCAAACCGTTCGTAAAATTATTATTATCAATGTACGATAAGATAAAGAATTTTGTTTTTTATATAACATATTTTTGTGTTCTTTGTTTTTTTATTAAACATATATGTTTTATTCTCGGTACTCGATTTTAATAAACGATCTCGATATAAAGATTAGGAGAAACGAACTTATATAAGGTGGTAGCTCATTTTAAACTACAACAAGACAACACATAGAACGTATGTTGATATATCGTTTTGAATCGATCCTTTCTTTTGTAAAACAACCTTGACTGTTTCTTTCTTTAAAGAAGAAGAAGAAGAAGAAGAAGAAGAAGAAGAAGAAGAAGAAGATGAGATCTGGACAGATTTAAGTAGCATATTTTTGTTTCATTAAATCGATCCTGATTTTATAATATAATCGAAACATATTTAACCAATTATTACGATAGTGATATAAATTATTAAATAATTTATAGTCTATTTCTCTAAAAAATATATGTAACGAACTATGTTTATGAATAATATCTATATATTTATCAGTAAATTACTAATAAGATAGAGTACATATTTTTATAGATAGGAAAAAAAAAATAATTTCAATCTTAATGGCATTACGATCGAATTTACATTACTCTCTTATCGATAATTTTGCTAAATCGTATTATCGCAAATCGTATAAATGTCTTCTCTTGAAAATCTTTATTTTAATTATATCTCATGACAACTTAGAGTCGTACTATGTATCAATTAAATCCCATGCTGAAAGGTAAATCAAATTAATGGAATGAAAGAAACGTTATATTTATATTTCTCCTTATCTGTCAAGAAAATATTAAAAAAAAAAAAATTCAAAAAAAAAAAACGAAAGATAAGTATGCATAAAGGATAATACGATAAACGAGTTTGTTATAATTAATTAAATAAGATCGATAGTTGTCGCGATGTTAGTTATAAACCTACTGGTTACACTGTTTTCTGTTTTACGATCGAATGCCAAGGTTTTCTCCGGATGATCGATCGTTTTAACATATAAATGTAAGTACTTATTACTATATTTCTAATGAACAAATTAACTATACGATCGCGTGTTACTTTAACTTATGGTTAGTATTTCTTTCCGTACGTTCTTTGACCGTTGCAATAGGAAACCTTTTAATAAACGGTCAATGAACGAACATAAACTATTACGTATCACATTTAATTGTTTCTTTAATTATTAACAGTTCTTTATAAACGATAATTAAAATGTTTTAATAGTATTAACTCTAAAAAGAAATATATATATATTGAGATACAAGACCGTGTATGTATCCTAGGTGAAGATAATTAAAAAGAAAAATATTGAAACGTTTGGAAAAAGATGGAAGGGGTGGTAATTGAAAGAAAAGAAAGAAAGAAAGAGAAAAAAAGAGTCTTGTTAAAGTTAAATATTATCTATGCTAATCGGGGCAGTGACTAATAACCGATACTGACCATTTGATTTATAACGTTTGCGAGATTTTAATTATAGGTTATGAGAAATGAAAATATATACATATGTATACGTCCGATATAAATTTATAAAATCGATTGAAAATATTATTATCAATTGATGTCGATTAGTAATTTCTATCAATACGAGATAGAATAAGATAGAATAAGATAGACACTCGTGTGTTTAAAGATAGGACAAATGTATCGATTTATGACAAAATTGGCTCGACAATAAAGCCGTTAAGGGTGCGAGCCAGTGTGGAACTATGGTAGTAGCAAGTTGGCTGACGGAGAAGAACGTGGCCGGGTGACCGACCTTTACGTAACCGGCTGCCTGTCGTGCTGGGTCCGTATGTACCGCACCTCACCGCACCTCACCTCACCATCTCGTTCAAACCATGACGCGACGTACCGCGCCGGCCCGGATGACGCTTCTCTCTTTCTCTTTACTGGGATCAAAACTCTCTAACAAACATAACGCATCAAAATACATCGTTAAACTATATATTATACTAATTTCTTCCTTTTTGTCAGCTATCAATTTTGTAACAAAATATTTTGATACTAATTTCAATGTTTATCACTTTATCTTACATATTTTGCATTATTTTATAAGTACAAATATTTTAGCAATGTTAGTGAAATGTTACAAATTATTGAAACTGAGACATTTGTTCATTGATGATTCAATTTAGCAAATAAATAATGTTTGACAGAAATAATTAAAATCATTAATAATTAATATTGATACGCAATGACAATTATGTTACAACATTACAACGGGTAGATTCGGGAAGGTATTTCATTCGTTCGTTGCTTTTGTTGGCAACGATCGATAGAATCCAACACGTGGGCAAGCAAAGACCGAAAGTAGCTAGGATAGAAGAAGAAGAAGAAGAAGAAGAAAAAGAAGAAGAAGAAGAAGAAGAAGAAGAAGAAGAAGAAGAAGAAGAAGAAGAAGAAGAAGAAGAAGAAGAGGAAGACTGTCACTTTGACGGCGCTACTTCGGTTGCCAAATAATATGCAACTATTTCCACCGGTATGAAGTTCTTTGCATCATCCTGAGTAATCAATCGAAACTAAAATGCATCCCCTGTTAAGGTTTATTTTTCATTACATTCTTTTTATTTTTTGTGTGTGTCTACATTTTTAATTTCTTGATTAAAACAAAATACAAAAACAAATTTTAATTAAAACAATACGCATCTTATTCGTCAATCGAAACCGGTCATAAGAATAGTTTATCATAATTCTGTTTACGAACGCAAAAACAAAAACTCTTTGACTCGTCTTTTCTTACGAAACATTTTTACACAATTTTAATTACGAGATTAAATCTTACAGTTGTTGTTTAGCCGTTCATTATTCACATTAATTTTTTTTCTCCTTCTTTCTTTCTTTCATTATAAAAATAAGTTATGTAACGAAACATTTGGGAATGGGTGAAGGAGAATGGGAGGGGAGAAGGACGTTAAAAATGTTATGTAAATTATACCGTGTTACATTCGTATGTCTATTTGTTATGTCATAGCAATTCTTCGATCGAACTTTTCTTTTTCTTTCTTATCCTTCTTGAAAAAAATAAAAAAAAAATAAAAATTACGTTATAAATCAAAATGTAGACATTTGTTTTAAACAAATATTCAAACATTTATTTTTCCTACCTTGTTCGTTGCATCGAGTTAAAAATTTTACCAACGTTTCTAACTTTAATAAAAAATTTGATTGAATAGAATGTAATTTGTTTTTTGAAAAATAATAATTTTGTAAACCTTGAACAATTAAATTTAAGTTGTATGCGATCGTTGACACTGTGTCTACCTGTGTAATCGGCTTTGTAAGTCATACGATACGTGTAGTCGTTAAGAAATGGTGAAGAAAAGAATATTCAAGATTCGATTAGTTGAAATGTAATCATGGAAATCATTGTGTATGGAAATTATATGAATCCTGACATTTTTCAATTTCGATTTTTCACGGTAATAAATATC